TGTTCAGATGTATGTATGCTCTTCAAGAAAAACTGAGATATACACTTGGTACAGGTATCAAGGCTCAATAAACCAATATTTTTGATACTAATTAAAGATGATGGTATGCCAAGGCAGGTGAAAGTATTGACACATTAAAAGGAGCAAGCTCAGGGAGTTATATGCATTACTATAGTACAAATGAGCAAAAACCATGCAACAAAATATCTCCTGGCTTTGTTATGCAAATATATGTTCAATGCATATCAATACTATAAATAAGTAATTACATCCTTAACTCCTTAAAAAAACCTCTCTTGCTGAGACTGTAGAGTGGCATGATGAATGTGATTGTATGAAATACCAATAAGTTCATACATCTTAAAATGATAATGCAGACTTGCATGAATAATTTAAAAAAATAATAATAATTTGGATCAGAGGAGTTTTCCAGAGATGGATAGCATGACATCTTACAGATGTGAAGAGCTTTGTTTGTGTGGAAAGATTAAAAGTCAAGTGACAGAAGGTTGTGTTTCATGTTACCAGGGGAGTGCTTGTGTTATCATCCTGGGCACCTCATGGTGCCTGGTTTCTCTACTCTGGATTCAGGGATTTGAACACAATTCCCTTTCTGGCTGATGGCAATCGAGGCCATTGCCTTCAGAATGATGCTTACCTGTCCCTGAGGAGAGCTTATAACATGAGGGAAATCAACTTTTTTACATGGGAAGATAGCAATAGGGGGGAATGGCTTAAAACTGAAAGGGGAGGAGGTTTAGATTAGGTGTTAAGGAAGAAGTTCTTTACTCAGAGTGTGGTGAGGCACTGCCACAGGCTGCTCAGAGAGGTTGTGGATGTTCTCTCCTTGGAAGCATTCAAGACTGGCTTGGATTGGGCCCTGGGCAGCCTGCTTTGTTGGGGGCATCCCTGTCTGTGACAGGGGATTGGAACTGGGGATGGGCTTTAAGATCCCTTCCAATCTAAGCCATTCTATATAAGTTAGTAATGTAGTAAGGTGAACACACAATCAGTTATGGATGTTCAGGGCATTTGTGTGTCCTTATTGAGTACCTTTGTATTTCTTACTTGCAAGAAAACTAGTTTGCTAATTCAAATGGCTATGTTGATGAGATGGTGAAAACATATTTCAGGAATCTCTTCAAAATAAATGTTCCATTGCAGGTTGTCTTGCTCTATTTAGTGTTCATTTTTATTTATTTATTTATTTTTAATTAGGTGTTCAATATTAATGTGCATCTATCTGAAAAATGGAAAATAAAGCCCTGTACTGAAATCAGAAGAATGAGAAAAGCCTCTGAATCACTCTTACCAGTGTACTCTGTGGGCTTGCAACAGGCTATCAGTATTTCCATGGACTTTAATTTCAGGAGCTTTTGACTCATCTTTACAGTAACAGTGTAGGTCTGTTACAATCTGTCTTTAGTCTGACTGGTACTGGGGTGGGAGAAAAAGGTGGTGTATATAATATATATATATATATCTTGGAGCAGGACTGCGAGAGGACTATGCTTGATCTGTCAGTCAGAATTTTGCTCAGCAGTGACTGATTTTTGTGCTACAGTGTTTGCATGTGGATGTCACCAAAGGAACACCTGTGGAGTGAATACCCTGCCAGAACCTAAGAAAGGCAGGGTTTGTAGACCTTTAAGTATTTGCAAGCTCTTCCACCAAAAATGCTCAGAAGGGGAAAGGGTGAGCATGTGAGGGGCAGGATGATGGCATGTTGACCTCAATGCCTCAGCTGACATGGAGTGGTACTGCCTGAGAATGCTCTTTCAGAAGTCTCATCCAGGCATATGGTGGGGGAAGTTGTTAGATCCAGCCTGCCGGGAAGAGTAGAGTGCTGGGGAAGTTTGGACATTGGTAGCTGCTGTCAGAAGAGAGGAAGGAGCCAAGTGAGTTGCACTGAGCTAGGAAAATGTAGAGGAAGATGACAAGTAAAAGAAGCAATGCATGACAGTACAGAAGGCAGGGCTTGCTTAGTCCTGATGGTGATAGCATCTGGTATCCTGCAGACAGGCTTGCTTTCCTCCTTATACCACATTTTCTTCTATATTCCTCCTTCCACCACATCTGCTGCTGAGTTGTTGTTAGGGAGCATCTTTGGGCTGCGAAGGAAGATTAAATCTCAATGAATGACCTCTCATAAGGAGCACATTCCTGCTGAAGTTCAATGTCTGCACTACATGCCTGTATGTATGCTGTGCTGCATCTCGCCAGGAATAACCCATCTCTGAGGGGTTAGGTCTCAGTCTCTTCACATAGTACTTCAGTTCACGTCTTTGCAGATCGCTTTAGTTTGATTCTGCAGTTGCACAGATTTTCTGTGCACTGAAACCAATCTTTTGTTCTCATGTTGGCCTAAGCTGGGCAGAAGACTAATGACAGCTCTGCCAGTGTCACTGCCACCGACTGCCTCTTCTCTGCTCCCTCAGCCCTATCCATTCTCTCCAAGATTAGATCAGCTTTCAAATTAAATGGAAAACTTACAGCCTTAAAGGAGATCGTGCATATAATTTAATGGAGGAGAAAAATCCATAAATCTGCATTACAGGGCTGCTCATTACATTTAATAGGCTGATTTTACTGTTACCTCCTTCCCTGAGCAATAATTTCTCCAGTTTATCTCTGTCTTCAAGTTATATCTTATAAATCCAATTCAAAATTTAAATTCCTTGCAGTAGTGTCTGACCCACCTTAATGTACGTATATGGCATTCATCGTGGTAGGGCTCAAGACTTAAATTGTATCCTCGTTAGTAATTACCCAGAAATTGCTTCAGTATTTTAGCTCCTTGACTGCACAATGCTATCCTTGCTACGGAATTGCATAGCAAAGTTATAACTACTAATTAAATTATATAGTGCTCTTCCAAAAGGGATTTTCCAAATATAGAATAATCACTGTGAGAAAATTTTCAGAAAGAAATATAACACTTATCAAATCAGTGGAAAAAGTAAGATGCAAAACATTCTCTAGTGCTCAAGTTCCAAAATATTTTTGCCTATGGAAGTGTCTATGAATAAATCTATTCAGGTAATTGGTTTTGGAGAATACTGATTTCTACCTAATTCTATAATAATGGGCATAAACTTTGGGAGGACTTTTATTTTTAGGATTCATTTTATTCCTCTTTCTCTTAATGAGAATTGAATGCTGCAGAATTTTTATATCCTTACTTTGCTGTTTATAATTGACTTAAAAAAAAAAAAAAAAAAAAAAAAAATTCCCCGAGATTGAACAACAATTTTTTCTGTCCTACCTTATGATTTTGAGCGCCTGGGAAGACTCAAGAGTTTGGCTATTTTTGTTAGAAATTATTCCAATTGATAAGATACATTCATCCTTCCCAATTAAAAAGAAAAAAGTTTGTATATCTGAGCCAAGTTCATTGATGTATAGAGCACAGCTAATATCAGTCATTATTATAGTCCTGATTGTAGTGTGTGTTTTCTCACAAACATGATTATAGCAAGCTAATTTCCACTGCTAAATGAATGCTAAAAATACAAAAACGTTTCTCCCTGCTGGCCAGAGAGCAGTTGATCCAGTCATTAAAATACAGGAGTAAGTACTCTGGAGGAAGCTGAGATGATTAAGCACAATGTGCGTAAGAAAATAGTTATTTATCTAAGAATATGCTCTTCAGAGGAGCTGCGAAGCTCTGATTTAGAAATCACACTGGACTTGCATGGAGGCCACCAGAAGGATCTGAACAAGCTTTTACACTATTCCTCATTTCGAATTTACTTCAGAGCCTGTTGGAGTGTGTGCTGAGGGACTGAGCTGCAATGGCTGCATAGGAAATAATGTCTATTTTTTGGAGCTTTTGGCTCCAGCAGCTGCCACGAGCTCTTTTTCCTTTTGCTACACAAGAAGCCAGAGTCTGAGCAGCCCAGTGCTGTAAGTAGGTGGAGCCTTGCCTTCTTGTGGTCAGGAGCCTGTTGAGCTATGGGTGAAGCCAGACATACAAATAATGGTGATTTTGTGAAGGGCAGTGATTTGTTCCAGATCTGCTCTCAAGGCAGATATTAGCACAGGAGGTTCAAGAGCATACCTTGCTTTTTTGTTGTTTGTTTGTTTGCTTTCTACTTGAAGGCACTTGGAATATCAGTTTTCCAGCACCCACCACAGCTGTAAATGAACATCTCCAAAACCTCCAAGCTTTTCCTGTGCTGCTAAGTACTTTTCCATATGCAAGTGTTGGTGTAGCTACCCAACTGGGAAACAGAACAGTTCTCTGGGTCTCATTCAGCTGGTCACTTTGCATCCCAGTGTACCAGCATTTAGGTTTAGCGTAAGCTGCAAGAAATATGTTTTGAATTGTTTTGAATCTACAAGCAGAAAACATCTAAATTGATGGGATGGATGGATGGATTGCTGGATAGTATTTCCTCCACTAAGTACCTTCATGTCAATAGTGTACCAAGATCTATCACCATCCTTCCCATCTCCAAAAATCTACATTAAAAACTTTTGTATATATTTCGTTAATCATTTTGTCAAGACTAGTGATGAAAAGAGCTATTTGTATTTATGGTGGTTGGTAATTAAACATTTACTGTGCTGTGCCAATATTTAATTCACAGTGTAGAAGGAGCAAACTGAACAGAAGGTAAATCTGGCAGAGTTTATGGTAGAAAGATGCTGTGGGAATGTGTGTGTGTGAGCGGAACTGTAACACTGCAGAGCAAGTGGCATTGCAATAAAATGTTGTAGCAGCAAATTGCTTTTCCAGTTGTGTTAGACTTCTCTCTCTCTCTTCCCTGGAAGAGAAATAAGAAAAAAAGATTTTACCCTTGAAATGATGACAAGAAACAAAAAGAGACTTTGGGAGTTAGAATCACTGGCTGTTTTTGCAAAGCAATAAAGCCACAAAGAACAAATGAGTCCCAAGGAGTTTCTTTTGATTTCATGCTTATATATTCTACACTTTGTTTTTCCCTTCTGTCTCACAAAGTATTTTGTAGAAACCTTTCCCATTTATTTGGGTTGCATTGTTTTCATTTCTGCTGGAAAAGCAAGGCAGCACTCATTGCAAGTGACTGTTCTGGTATAAAATATAATACTACTTTTCCATGCGAGGATGGAAACTGTTTAAATGGCTCATTCTTACTGCTGCTGAAATGACCATGATCGTTCCTTTTTTTCTCATAACAATGAGACTGCATCTCTACAAAATGCCTATGCCATAACAAATATGATTCATCTGTCAATGACTGTGTATGCTGACTTTATACACCATGGAGGCAGAGCTACAGGGACATCCATCTGCTGAAGGAGAAAATCAAGACTGACCGAAGGCACCGTATCCTACAAGCATCTTTTTTTATTCTTATTTTTTGAGCCTACATCTGGCTAACTGAGCTGCAGGCATGTGCATTTTTGTTCAAGTCTGAAGTTCAAGGAGACAAATTCCATCCCAGAGCTTCTCAGGATTATTCCCAAGCCGCGCGACTTTCCTTCTAGTCATTGTTAGATTCCCACAAAGCTAAGAACAAGCTCACTTCTGCACCATTATCGGTGCTTCCCATGGTAGGACAGTTCTTTATAGTGTTAGAATGGAAAGATGAAAAGTGCATTGGGTCACCACAGTGTAGCCAAGAGTGTTTGTTGACCTGCACAGTAAGCAGATGAAGACAGTTATATGCAATGTAAGGTTCAGCTTGCAGTCAGGGAGGTGTCATGGACTCTGGATGCACCTGAGCATCAGTGCCATGAGTTTTTTTTAAAGTAGCAAAGTTGCTTGAGAAATGACTGTGTGGTGACAACTGTGAAATTAAAGCATTTGTGTGGGATTGCATTCGTGCATAACACTCTACAAACACATTCAAGGAGATGCCATCTATCAAATAACCAGGCTCATCTCAAAAACAGCTTAGTGAAGCATTGGCAAAAGTCCCCTGCAGCCAGCCAGATCAAACTGCAAATGTTCAAAAGACTCCTGCTGCTAATTGAATTCCACTTGCAGGAAAAATCCTTGGATTTTAGTGTGTCATTGATGAAACTCTTGTATTTTAAAGGCTGTGGATCAGGACTTGTTCAATAGACAGACTGCATAGTGGCTGGGTGTCTGTTAGCAAGCACTACAGCCCCACACGAGGAGCTCCACAAAGCAGATGCAGGCTGACATCCTCGTGAGTGACATCTCAGGAACATTTCATGCTTCATATATTACTGACCTTACCTCCTAAAGCTTTGTGGCTTTAATCTGTAATATCTGTTACAGCATGGATCCCGCAAATGAGAAGTGCAATTAATTTGTTTAGGATTGCTCTCATAAAATCTTTCATTTCTTTCTAGGATTGAGATCAAAGATCGTAATACATTTTAAATGAAACAGAGAAATAGGTTTTTCCAGATGTTATGTAAAATGTTACTCTGGAACTTCCAATGTGAAATAAACATTATTAATAATAATAATAATAAAGGATCGTTATAAGGAGTTATGATCATGAAACCGTTTATTCTGGGCAATGAAAGCCACTCTCTTTAAGACCAAAGCATCTCTACCCCTTTGTTTGATCCTATGATTTCAGTCTGTGCCAAAATTAAGCAAGTAAATCCACACTATGCTTATAACAGATGTAAAGTCTTTGCCTTAGTGCTTTAGTAAACTTCTCTGTTGTGGACAGGAACACCATATCATTTCATGGAGCCATAAAAAAATCTCTATTTTACGAAAAAAATTTTGGCGAAAAAATTACATATAGTGTGAAACAAAATTTTAAAATCTATTTGATTACAAAGAACTTTGTTTTCTAAAAGATAAAATGGAAACAATACAGTAAAAATAGGTTATTACAAATAAAATGCCTATCACTTCCAAAGGCTTAAATTATGTCTTAAAAAATTTGAAATGAAATTTGTTTACATAACTCTTAAAAAGAAAAGCACAATTGGACAGAACGAGCATGCATTTATTATCAAAATGTGGATGTACAAGTTGTAAAATACCATAAATGTATTAAATATATGAGATTGTGGATGCTATTCTTTTTTTTTCAATTAAAAAAAAGAGACTTCATCTAATCAATACTAAAGGATAATGTATGTTTCTTTCTATTCAAGACAGTTCTTGTCCAGAATAGATCCATGGAAACAGATTTCTTCACATTTATAACATTTAACTGTGGATCTGAGCAAATTCTTCGTGTTTTTAGCTCTCCTTCCTAAGCTGCTTTTCAGCTCAGGCTCAGTCAGTCTATAAAGATCTGTCTTTGTCATATTTATGAAACACTGCTGATGTGTCTGATCCTGCATCCACAAGAGTCACTAGCAACAGTTTGATTTGGCGTGGGTCACATCTCTCACTACACAGCAGAATGCATGAAGTTAAAGAACAAAATGAAGACATTCACGGTGCAACATTGCCAATGGCCTTCAGGTAGTCAAATGAAATTATTCAGTGTTTATCCTATTTGACACTACAATCATGTATTTACATCATGTACATCTGTTATAAACTCAACAGCAGATGTTTGGAAACAGCTGTGTCTAGCAGCTCCATGAAATTCAACATTGGATCATTTTAATTAATGGAGACAGAGAGGATAGCGTAAAGTCTTCAAGATAAAGCTGGCCCCAGTGCAACTTGTCTCTTGCAAATGGCCAGAAACATGGCAATATTTGAGAGGCTGCCTAGTGAGTTGTTTCAAGTTTTCTTCCAGGATTTTGAAAAGGAAAGTCAAACTTATAAAACTGCATTTTGTTCTTGATGGTCTCTTTTTTCCAATGGCAGAGTCAGAAGAACAGTCTTAGATGGAAGTTCTCGGCCATTTTCTCTGTGGACTTGCCCTCAGCTGGGGATCCTGCAGGAGGACTGATTGCTTGGGATCCAAGGGGTGAGTATGAAGGCATGTGGGAGAGGATTCTTCCTCACCCCCAGGTGAAAGCCTGTGTGGAGCTGTAGCTCACTAGCTGCTGCAGCCTCTTGTACAGCCATGTCCAAGCAAGTTGTTGTTACGTCCATCTTGAAGCTTCCCATGGCTCTGCAAGGATGCTCTGCTGTCTGTGCTGGAAGTCTGCCCGCTTTGATCCTGCTGCCTTCTTAGTCTGCCAAAAGTTACAAACATCAACAGATTTACAGCTCTGACCTGCAGGTAACTGAATCAGCATAACTGTTGCTGTCTGTCCTATGGATAACCACATATACCTGTGTATAAAATAGATTTCCACAACATTCAATCTCTACTAACTTTCCTAGCTTTTATTGTATTAAATGCCTTTGAATTCCTTCTCTCTTCCTATGTACAGTCAGGTCTTGGTTAAATCCTGCTCCTATCAAAGCAAATAACTAGCAGAGGATTGTGCTTTCTCTGGTCACCTCTATCTAGATGTAGCATGACAAAGTCTCTACCAGCACAAGAAAACGTGTCCAGTGAATACATATTCATGTGTAGCCTCATAGGTGGTTTCATGGAACAACAAAAATCCTGCATTATATAATCTCCTCTAGGCACCGTTTTCCAGAGAACAGCTGCAGACCTGGTGGCACCAGCAATCCTCACCAATAATTTATCATCGAACTCAATACTTCTGTTCAACACTGGTATCAACTTCTCTGATTTTCCAGTGACTCTTTTGATACTTAATGTAGTTTTCCAAATACAAAGACATAAGTACTTCTGTAAAGAAGTGGAAGATTCATGGGGAAGCTGTTGTAGAAATCAATTTTTGAAAATACAAACTATTGTTTTGGGTTGTTGTTTGTTGTTTTTTTTTTAGGGGGGGGATTTTTTTCTGATTGTTCTTTAAAAATGATGAACAGCTGGTCATGTATTCCCAAAAAAGGCACTAGGAACTGTCACTGGAGATGCCATGGGAGAAACACTTTGTAACAGAGACCATAAGTGATACCATATACTCCAGAAATACCTTTGCAAGTAACACTGAATACATAGAAATTATTTAATAAAAAACATGTAAAAGTGTAATGTAAATTGTGAGTTTTAAAAGAGTAAAATAAAAATATAGAGACATCAACTGACAACTGAGAACAGAATGTAAAAAAGCATGAAAATTCTGCCTTAGCTAAATGGATGTCTAAGGAAGAATATTTAATTTTAATGAAAAACACTTTCCAAATAGATAAAGATTAAAAGAGCACAAACACTGGCACATTAAATAAAGAAATATAAGTCAGACTAAATAATAAAAATGAACTCAGCCTACAGAGGGGAGGGGAATCAACACTTTGAAAGGGTTGATAATTGCAGGATGAGGGGAAATGGTTTTAAGTTGAGGGAGAGGAGATTTAGGTTGGACTTCAGGGGGAAGTTCTTTACAGAGAGAGTGGTGAGGTGCTGGAACAGGCTGCCCAGAGAGGCTGTGGATGCCCCGTCCCTGGAGGTGTTCAAGGCCAGCTTGGAAGGGGCCCTGGGCAGCCTGGTTTAGTATTGAATGGGGAGGTTGGTGGCCCTGCCTGTGGCAGGGGGGTTGGAGCTTCATGATCCTTGAAATCCCTTCCAACCCTGGCCATTCTGTGATTCTGTGAACTTTCAAATGAACTTCAACAAATGATCAAGAAAGGATTTTCACCCAAGTGTCCTAGGAAAATTGAAATATATAGCTCCTGTACAGCAGTGGAGTATGTAACTTACTGTTGAAACTATCTTGGCAACAAAGGATGGAACATAACGAATATGATGGCATGGTTTTTATTTTATTTTACAGTGGCTTCAAAGGAGATCTGGAGAACTACCAAGAAAGTAATTGAAAGTAATTGAATCAGACAAAGACTTGAACCACTTCAGGGTTTGAGATACTGGCTCTTTCAAGACCAAGGTATTTGTAGACATCAAAACAAATGGCCACAGTGCTTAGAAAATCTTGTAGAAAATCGTGGGTTACAGACCTGTGCTAATTAGTGGGATGATGCAATTTTTGGAGACCGAGGAATCGTTGCATTGGTCTCTGTTGTCAGCAACATGTAAATGTTTTCCCCTGATTTTTTCTTTAATATTTATTTTGTCTGTAAAAATCTGAAAAAGCAAGCATTCACTGTACCCTTACAATTAAGGGGAAAAAGAAGAAGCCTCTCAGTAACAGCAGAAAGCAGAAAAACATGTGTTTTTTAATGAAAATCACTCAAACTGGCATAAAGGTAGCATTTAAAGGTTCAAAAGACACCAGTGGCTAGCCTCAAACTTCCCAATTTGGTTTCTATTTTTTGATTTATTTCCATTTATTGTCTTTTATTCTGTCCCTACTCCCAAGGGCTGCTATTAAAGCATATTTAGATTATGGAGTTTGGAAGTGGTAAAGAGTACATTGTTTTAGCAGTGTTTCATTGTATTCTCTTAACAGAAATTTTCTGTGTCTGTATCTAGATTCACTACCCACATGTACAAACTATCAATGTAAGCAACAGGTTATTAATCTAATGATGCAAATAAAATTTAACTCTTATTTAATATTTAATAAATTATATATCCCTTTATTGAGTGTTTAAAATATAATATTTTATTGTAAGGAGTTATTATGGGTAACAAATACCTGCCAGTATGTCCTGGGGATGTAAAAATATATCAAGATTCGGGAGGTATTGATTCTGTTTATACCGAAGGAGTACAGAAGGTGTTAATGAGTGGCCATCCTCTGGGCAAATTGCAGACATTTTCTGTCCCTCAACCTCTCTCCCTGCAAGTGAAGAAAGTGTAAAGGGGTGAAGCTGAAATGGAAAAGTGTTTGTCCAGAAATATCATATGGATTGGAGCTAGTCATAATTCTGGGTCCAGCAACTGGTGGCTAAGAACTAGCAAAAAAAGAACATGTATAAAAATACAAAGTCAAGGAGGGGAGATCGATTAATTACTGGTATGGAAGATATGAAAAAGGAAATGGAGACTTCTAAAACTAAGGCAAGCACCTGATGAAACCTGGTAGCAAACTTGGGAACCACCAAGTAGCAGATTAAGGCTCCGCTCTATATACCAGCTGAAGAAAATTATTGAAATTTTGTTTTTGGGCTGTCTAATACAATATGTTCAATGTAAAAGGAAGAAAAGTTATAGATTCAATGGTCATGATTTCAGATTTGTAAGAGACTAAGAAACAGGAAACTCTCTGAACAAAAAGATTTAGCTGGTCTTGGAGACATTACTGGGGGTGTTCTCTCTTCCCCCAAACACTGAAATTTGAGAAAAATAAATAAAATAAGGCAATTATTCTGTACTTTAATATAGCTCCAAAGTGCAGAGAGGCTCGGGTCAAGACCTAAACAAATCTCACCACAGCAGCAGTGTGTGAACAAGTAGTCTCTTCAATTAAATGTTGGGCAATTTCAGAAGTGAACCTCACCCTTTTTTCATGCATTCTTGATCACTTGATGCCAGAGCTGGACCACTTTTCCAGCAGATATTGTCAACTTTACAAAAACACGAGTAGGTCAACACAGTCCCTGTGATCCTGGCAAAATAAATGCACTCTGGGCCAGTCTGTTTAAAAAATGGCACTAGTGCAATAAATCATTTGTCGGAAACTGTTTTCTAGTGAATGACTTATCTCTCCTTCAAGCTGATGCAGCCACAGCCTGTGATAACTTGATAAAGACACAGGAGAAATGAATGGCTTACAGGGAACATAGTTGTTGTAGTTTTGAACCATATAGTTATTCCTTTGCTGAATGCTATGAATAGAGGGTAAATAGTGAAATGGCCAGCTGTGGATGAAAAGAGTGAACAAATGGCTTTACTGGATAGTCATACCCGAAGAAAAAGCCTGCAGGGAAAAGAAGCTGAAAATGAGTTACCACAGTGTCTGTTAAATTTATTTCACAACAATTCTGTACAAATGGATAAGTAGGTTCAAATATAGTTACACTGGAAATTAAGAGTGGTTCTGCTGAGCCAAAGAATAGATAAGCATAGATATCCTTGCCATCACCATGGATCCACACAATTTCAATAGTGTGCAACTATGAGTATTGAGCAGCATGTTCTCCAGTAGCGAGGAAGGAAGAAGCCTCAGAAATGTGAAAATAAAAACAGCAGCCATCAAGGTTAAAAATTCTACCAGCAGAGAGAGAATTCAAGCCAGACAGAAGCACCACTCCACGTATACCAGGTTCCACACGACACTTTTTACTACGTTAAATTTGTAAGTGATTTTGCCAGATTTGCAAAGCACTGTCCTGAATATGGAAGAAAGAAAATGCTGTGAGTAGATCCTGGAATTTGCTTTATCATTTCTAGGTTTAGTATCTTGTCTTAGCCTGTTAATATTTCAACCCCCTTTCCAGTAAAAACAAATGCATTTGCTTTTGGTTTGCGGAAAGGGAAGGCATAGTAAGTCAAATTTTAGAAATTATGGCTTTATTGCAGGATAAAGAATTCAACTAAGGGAAACCTTTACATCTCCTGAAATAAACCCTTGAGAGTAGATAAGCCTGTAGAAAATTTTATCCCAGTTATTCTTCACAAAGAAGAGGTTTGAGGTCCAAAATGAGCAAGTATGTCTATACTAGGGGGGGACAGATTTCTAATTAGTTAGAAACACTCCTCAATTCTATGATTTATCAGATACACTTAAGTACTGTTGATCTCTTCTGCAGATGGTCTTGCTGGGAGGCTAATTATGAACATGTCAAAATCAAGAGGGAAAAAAGAAACAATGAAAAAAGCCCACCCATTATTGCTGTGCTCAATGTTTCAACAGTACATCACTATGCGTATCACTGATTTGTCTATAGGGAAGATACAGAAGTTATAAGGGGGACATACAATATTTTTTGGATATCAGTTGGTAAATATAGATTCCTTGTAGCTGGTATCCCTTCAAAATATAACACTAAATATTTCCGTTCTTAACATAAAAATCCATCAATGAAAGTTTCTAAGAAAGTTAGAAGAAGCCAGACAGATATATATACAGGTATTGTTTGGATATGCTCCTAAAAACGTGGAAGTTACGCCACATAACAAAAATGATGGGCATTCTGGAAAATATCCAGCAATACTGCAAAAACCCCAGTGAAATACAAAATCATTTTTACAGAGTGGTATAATGCTATGAGTGGTAATGAGTGGTATAATCCATGAAGCATGAGAAACCCT